GCACTCTACCCAGGGGGACAGCTTGAGGCTCTGTCTCAAAAAAAAAAAAAAGAAAGAAAGAAAAAACATAATGCAAAGTTTCTTCTGGATTCATCTCCTTTCCAATTTGACAATATTATCAATTATCTAAAGCACACAAAATAGAATAATAGCTTAAAACCAACCAGTGCAAGTTTTTAGCAATAGTTTCACATCAAATTTCAGTGGTTTAAGAAAACTCAATTAGGCTCAGCTCCGGTAGCTCAAGCGACTAAGGCCCAGCCACATACACCTGAGCTGGCAGGTTGGAATCCAGCCGGGGGCCTGCTAAACAACAATGACAACTACAACCAAAAAATAGCCCTGTGTTGTGGCGAGTGCCTGTAGTCCCAGCTACAGGAGAGGCTAAGGCAAGAGAATCGCTTAAGCCAGGAGTTGGAGGTTGCTGTGAGCTGTGATGCCACTGCACTCTACCCAGGGCGACAGCTGTCTCAAAAAATAAAAGAAAACTCAACTACCTAAAATACACTCTCTTCCTAACTGTACCAAGGTTTCAAATTTCTAAGTCTAAAAACAGAGTGAACTACAACGATGTTGTAATATAAACTAAAAAGGATAATATGCTTCCAATGTACAATATGCTAATAAACCAGCAAATGTTACAGTTTATATTCAACTTGGAAAAACACAGATGTGGGGCAACACCTGTGGCTCAGTGTGTAGGGCACCGGCCCCATATACCGAGGGTGGAGGGTTCGAACCCCGCCCCAGCCAAACTGCAACAAAAAAATAGCGGGACGTTGTGGCAGGTGCCTACAGTCCCAGCTACTCGAGAGGCTGAGGCAAGAAAATCGCCTAAGCCCAAGAGCTTGGAGGTTGCTGTGAGCTGTGAAGCCACAGCACTTAACCGAGGGCAGCAAAGTGAGACTCTGTCTCTTAAAAAAAAAAAACACAGAGATGTGTATCAACACTTTTAAATAGTAAAACTTAACATTTTAAACTTACATGTGGAAATGGTCCTATTTATAAAACCTCGGCGTTAACAATTTCAAAGTCTGTACTCTAAGAAAACCAAACACTGTATTCAGCAGTCGAGGGATGAGTAGCTTATCTAAGAAACCACTTGTTCGTTTAGCTCTCATCTTGCCCTGTCCTTTTGTTTGCACTGCAGTTTCTCACAAACGAAAAGGTATCACGTATTCATTCAGGTAAGAACAATCATCTCTCCTCTATTCCAAAGAGCGTTATTAGTTCCCTCCTCCTCCAGCCGGGTCGAGGAGAGACCTGAGGAACTGGAGCCCCCTCACTCCACGCCCATCGGCCTGACACCGCCCCCGGTACCCAAACCTGACTCCCGCCCACCTCAGCCTCCTCTTCTCTTTTGCTTACTGTCTTTAGCTCGTAAATCCGACCCGCGCGGGAGCCACCCCGCCCCCAACACGGGGGCGCGCGGCCGACGCGCGAGCTCAACCCGCCACCCGCGACAGCCGCCCGGGCCCTCGGCGCCCGCGCGGGTCCCGCCCCGACGTTCCCCGGCCCCGGGCTTCGCTAAACAGAGAGCACAACATTCGAGACAGCGCACTCGGAATTCTCCCACACGGGGAGCACCCGACCGCCAACAGCAGCCTGAGGGACAGAGCCGGGTCGGAGCGGAAAAGACTGCAACCCCTCCCGGGGACCGACCTGTGGAGACCGCCATCTTATCCTGCAGGCCGACGCAGCCGCCCGCACGCACGGGACGTTGCGCGTCACTTCCGGAAGCGCGCCGCTAGCCTGGCGTCAACACAGGCTCCGCCCCCGGCGTCGTGGCTCCAGGGGGGACCCAGCAGTGGCAGTTCGAGCTCTGGTTTTGCGACGCTGAGCTGTCAGCTGCTTTTTATCTGCCTGCGACACTGCTCTGAAACTAAGACGCTGAAGAGTGAGTTCGAGACAGGGTTGGGCGACGAGTCTGAGGCAAGCTCCGTGACATAGAACAAAAAGACAAAGCGATTGTGAAAAGGCGTGTAAAGCGGACAACGGCCGCCGGTACCATGAGCGCGGAGTCCAGGGAGAAAAGAGAGCACGCGCCCGGTTTCAGTCTCTTACTACATTAAAAGAAGCTGTTATTAATGATTTATATTGATTAGATGCGGAAGTGGTAATGTTTCGGTAAAATTGAGTTACATAAAATGTTACTAAAACGAAAA